CAGGCCATGCCCCCAGCAGCCTACCTGCTCCAACCACCTTCATCTCCCATCACACTTAAGCTATAAATTTATCCATGTGCTAACCCACTGATGAGTATCACACCCCCCGTGACCCAGTCATCTCTCAAAAGCCCCACCTGTGAATGCATGAGGCTTTGGGAGGACATCTAGGTATAAACTGTCACATCTCTCCACTGCCCATCCCACAAAAAACCTCAATGTACTTTATACTTACTCTTCCTGCCCTTGACTCCCTGGTGACTTCATGTGTTTATCTCTGATTTGTTCATAATAGTACCTATTTTTGTTGCAACTGTTCCATTTATGTTGACAGGTAAAACATTTTCTCATTAGATCTCTGAATCCTGTCCCTTCTCTCTTGCTTCTTGATTTTTCACTGCCCTCAATGGGTTTCTCTGTTTGTTTGTTTGTTTGTTTGTTTTTGCATAATCTCTTAAGAAAATTGAGGAATTTTTAGTTCCAGGAGTTAGTGACATTCAAGGATGTGTCTGTGGATTTCACTTGGGAGGAGTGGATGCAGCTAGATCCTGCTCAGAGAAACCTATATGGCAAAGTCATGCTGGAGAACTACAGGATTCTGGTCTCACTGGGTAAGGATTTCTTGTAACTCGGGTACCCCTCCACCTTGTATGACTTCTGAAATTCATGGATTTGGACTAGAAACCTAGCATTAGCATAGGGCATTGTTTTAGGGTAATGGTTGGTATTCCCCAGTTTCAATGTAAAAGGTCTTTTTTTTCCTGTGAAGAATGGAAAGTGGGAAACCTGAGCCACACCTTTCTGTCCCAGAAGCCCTGAAAGAGAAGGGATCAAAACTATGTTGGGATTGGTTTTTAGACTAATTTCAGAACCTACACTGGATCTCTTTCCTCCCAAGCAGGGCATCAACTTTCCAAACCAAATGTGATAGCCCAGCTGGAGCAAGAACTAAGCCTGAGGAACAAAGAACTCCCAGGGTGCACCTCTTCAGGTGAGTGTCAGGATGCCAGGCCCTGTCACCAGAGTGTCTCATGGGGGAGTTGTCGTTTCAGAGGTCTTTGGGTCTTGAGAGACTAGTGCCAGTTAACTACTGACTATTGAAAGATGGCTCACAGTACTGATAGGACTCATTCATCCTGACTCTTATATATGACCTTACTTTGGTTTTCTTGTTTGTTTGTTTTGTTTATGTATTTCGTACAGGGTCTCACTACACAGCTGAGACTCATAGTGATCCTCCTGTTTTCAGCCTCCCTAGTGCTGGGGTTATAGGCGTGCACCACCAGGCTCAGCCTCTCTAGCTAGCTCAGCACACCTGGGGGTGGGGACAGGGCGGCCTGTGGTGCCAGAAATCGAACCCTGGTCCCTTCACTTACCTAAGCAGGCATTTAGTCTGCTGAGCTATCTCAATGGCCATATGTCCTTACTTTGGAGGGAGGTAATATGCTATAGTAATCAGATTGCCTAAGATATACTGAGCATTCAGTAACTATCAGGAATTAATATCTTCTCTGTTCTTCGCCTGTACTTTGCATTCTGTCTCTTTTGAGTAGGATATCTCCTTTTGCTGTCATTTATGAATGTTTCTTCCCAGCTATAATCTGTGCCCCAGCTTCCTTTCCCTTATCTATTTAAACATTTAGAATCTTGCTTCT